AAGGGTACGTTCTAAATTTATTCATATAAAAAAATGCTACATCCGAAAATAAAAAAGAACCATTTGCCGTTTTCGACTGTCGCAAGAGATAAACCGAAATAAGTAAATAAATAATAAAATATATAATATATATATATACGTTTTGTTTTGAATACATAATTTGTAAATGTACTGGAAACTTTTATTTCCCGCGTTTCTCGTGAGTGAAGGTAAAGGTATTAAATTGCACATAGACTGCACGTGTGACATAATTGAATTATTGTAGAGATCGATATTGCAGGTCACCTATTTCTTATTTTCAAGAAGCAGTCTAGACTGCATAACATGATGGAACGAGTTATATTATATTCGAATAATTAGATAAATATTGACACTGAAGTATTCGAGTAATACAAAAGTATACTTGCTAAAATAACTTGTGTGCATAAATTATTATCCAAATAAATACTTCATATAGAAATATCTTCCTAGATATGCTCGATGCAGAAACAAATACAGTAAAATATCGGTTAAACAGATCGGTTAGACGGATCACGGATTTAGAACAGAAAAAATTTTAACAATGCAATACGACCGTAAATAAGAACTCGTTTAGCCGATGCGATCTCTACGCGCGATTCGTCAAGGATGATCGACAGAAGAGAGTCGCGTGTGAATTTGTCCGAAACTGTAATAAGCGTGACAGGATGCGACAGCTGAGGGAAAGTTGCGCTGCTTCTAGCGCGTCTGACAAACGCACGGTGTTTCCACTGAGTTCTATCACGCGGTGAGAAGGAAAATACGTTCCGCGATGTGGCAGGTCGCGAGAGTATGCAGAAACGGGAGACGCGACTTACGTCATCACGTCCCCCGCGATCGAATATTGGATCGGTGCGGAGCGTTGTTACGACCAGCGAACAAGGCCGGCGAAATAACAGGAAGCCGACCGGCGGTATCGATATGTGCACGCGCGCAACACTTGACAGGATATTGACATGCTGCTCTGTCTCTCTCTTTCTCTCTCCTCTGCTTGGAGAGTTCACATCCGTATATTCTGTTCTCGTTCGTGTTCTCGCACGTGGCCAATGGGGCCAAAACGCAAGAATCGATGCTGTTGTAAACAAGGTCGCGCACGTCATTCTCGTAAATCTTTCAAATAAGCGGATAACTTAATTAAAATATTTCTCACTTTATTGATTAAGATTCTGTATTTCTATATTTCTATACTTAATATATTCTATATTTCATTATCTTATAATAATGTGATATTAATATATATTAAGTATAGATACTTTTTGTAATACATTCTTAAAATAAATATAAAATACTTTTTAATTTGTATGATTAATTTTTTTAAATTATGAGCAATATTATTTGACAATTACCGTCAGTGGTCGAATATTTGGTGTAGCATCGTAAACGGTTATTTAGTGGGTCTATATTTTTTAATAGTACGCCGAACTTGTTACAATAATTTTTCAACAAAAGAACTCCAACAGCGTTTGGAAAACGTCTTTCTCGTCAAAGTACGGATACAGCGTGACGGTTCTTCTGCTCATAATGATCCAAGGTTTAAAGAATGCTCATTAACATTTTTTCTTTCGGATGATACGAGAATCCGGGGATCACGGATGCTTTCCAAGGAATTACTTGCACAATTTTCGGGAAGTAGAATTGACATTCAGAGACAGAATTAATCAATGTAGTGATGTCCAAGTTTTTTCTTTTAAACGGAGAAGATAAGGAAAGTTTTCTGGCCGTTCAGCGAAGAAAGACTTTAAATGACCTTAATTTATTTTGGTGGCCACATGTTATAAGATCAATGAACTCGTCTTGGAGTTGAGCTACACGCATAAAAAACAAACAGATAGTTTAAATTGAGAAAACAAAGGTCATCTTGATATCTTAGAGGCGCCTCTATTTAGAAAAACAAAAAGTGCTCATCGTAAGATGTCGATGATTAGTGGCGAAGCCGTCCGGTTCCTAATCTTCGTCTGGAACAAGCACGAGTCTGGTACCACACTGGGAACCATCTAGGAGTGGGGACGAGAAAAAGGTCGCGAGAGGGAAGGGGTAAATGCTTATGGAAGGGGATCGGTATAGGAGGGAGACCATTCGTCCATGGTCGTAGGAGAAGGTTGTGGTAGGTCACTAGCAAAATGGCCGACTTAATGGTTACCCGGGAAACCATCTGGGCGGTGCTTAGCGTTCACCAGAGGCGGGGCTTGATAGCTTTGGCGGCCATTATGGCTCTTTGCTCCGAGAGATACCGCCACCTGGTGAACATCCCCCAAAACCAGCTTCGATACCGGGAATATTGCTGCTACCCCTGGGATCACCTGGGATGTGGATGGGCGAGAGATCGTTCTTGCATTCTGGACTAGTAGTCGCACTCCGAGATAGTCTTGGGATTACTGAGCGTGTCGTCGTGAGATGATCCCTTCGAAATATGATCATTCCGTTTGCTCGACTTGCTCCCAAGAGACGCGGTACATTGCTTATGCGAGGATTATCTTGATGGGTGTTGTATAGACCGCACTTTTACCTCACTTATCTAATGTTGTTAGTGAATTGCTGGAATCCTTGCCGTTCTAAGGAAATGGAGATAAGGATTTTTTATTGCCACCAGTTGTGGTCTGGCGTGGTCCAAATATTAATTAAAAGTATTTTTATTGTTTAAAAAAATGAGATAATAATTAATATTATTTATATTGACATAATATTATTTATAATGATTAATAGTAATATATTTATTAATATTTGTATGTATATCTTTTATTTTAATAATTCTTTATAAATCAAAAAGCGATTCATCGCGGGTTTTAGTTACATCGTCGGGCAGGCACCTTCGATGCATGGATAATCTGGGCGGAAGTATATGAAAGAGATTCCCGTCAAAACGGATTACAATTCCCGACATAACTTCACCGAATTGCGTGCCAGTAGCAGCACCATTAAACGCAGACGTGCGCGCACGAGATTGCGTTATTATTAATTATCCGTGTATCGTTTACGAGGCATGCGTCGCGTCCCTCGCCAATTATTAACGGCCGTTGCGCTCGTGGATATTTACTTATTAATTAACCGATTAACGTTTCGCAATTATGCACTGTCACGCTTCACTCGTGTATCTGGACATCGCGCGCATTACACGTCTCGCTCGTACTTCATCTCACGTTTCTTGCGTGTTGGATTAATAATAGTTGGCTATGGGTTATAATTGTGTGTTGTCCGCGATGCGGCATGATATAGAAACACCGAAGTCTGACCATCCCTGCTATTTTCGAAAAATATCAATTAACTTTTCATGACTGCACAAATTTATATTTCTACACGCACATATACATTATTCCTTTTTACAGAAAACTAAATAATACGAATTAATATGTTAATAGATAATGATTAGATTGTGACTGCGTTAAGTGTCATCGCTCATCTTTGAAATTTGAGATTTATGCCAGTCTAAGATTTCTTCTTGAATTATTTTTTTAATTCTTTGATTTCAGTGATATTTTACGTACTTGACAGATTTTTGCACTTATGCATGTTATTCCGCTAAACATTCGTGCCTAAAGCAATGGAATTGGAACGTTTTGTCGCGTTTTGTCTTATACGATATAATTATAAGTCCGGTGCAAATCACGTGCAATATTGCCGGACATTGAATCGAATATTTCTAGTCACGGCGCGGCGATTTCTACGAGCGCGCTCCGCTCGTAACGCTGATTTATCAATTAATTGGTTGACGCACCGTGACTGCACCGAGTCACGCGCTCCCCTTACGATTACGACACCCCAGTGCACCGGACAGGCGAGAAAATAAGCATATCGCAGGGTATATGAGCGAACCTAAAGCCGGATACTTTGACGCCAAATGTCAACCTGTAAATATAGTATGTACATACATGCTCGTTCTTATGTCGATCTCGTTACATAAAATGTTTGGACCAAAGAATCTTTTTATCTAAATAAAATTTTGTGCGAATAAAAATATCAGATATTTTTATAAACGAAAAGATTCTAGTTCCTGGTTAGGTTTTGTTTCAAGAGAAAGTTTTTTTCTCGATATATTTAATATCGCAAATTAAAATCAGAAAATGTTTATTCAAATTCTGGTTAAAATAGGATATAATATACAGATTAATGGAGCACGGAATGACTGTCCGTCATTCAATTTAGCGCACTCCCCGCATCGAATTAGATTGCGTTGAGCCCGAGAGTAAACCGAGCATGCGGATCTACATTCCGCCTCCTGACCCTTCGTTATCCTGGCAGCTTGCACTTTCTGTTACGAGCCAGAGGTTATGAATAATACATATTAATTACGCCATTCCTATATATCTTATCTATACGGCATGTTCGAAACAATCTCTCCATCGACGCGCTGTTGCATGCATTTCTGAAGAATCGAGAGACTTGATAACGCATTAGCACGCATGAATATTGCAATAATAAACACTGATAATTAAATGAATACTTGTTATATGCGGATGGTTGGACGAGGTCCCGCCCCGTGCATCGTTCGCATGATAACCGCTCATTGTCGAGAGCGGTTTAATCCTTAACCTCTCGTGATGCCGTGGAATAAATAGCACCTACACAGATTTCATCCTGTATATGGCACCTGCTATTTTCAACGTCTCTAATTAACACTGGATGGAAATATATACGTTGTTATTTTATTGTTTTTAAAAAATCAGCAATGTGGAAAATAATTCTCGCGATCCAATCGAAGAGATTATTTGCAAAACATTCCTTAGATTTTTTAGAGAGACGTGTAGCTTCCACAAATGTATTATGTATATTTACATATATCATTTAATTGTTATAATTAGAAAACGGAAAGATAAATATGGATTTATGCTGAAAATGTATTATCTATTTATAAATTATTAGCTCACCTTTGTTAAACATTGACTGGACATCTTTTGCGAAAATAAATCTTTTAATGTTATATCTCTAAATTTTAATTGCAATTACAGATTTTATTTAACATATGCGTTAATATCGTATGTTTACAGATCCTCGTAGAATACGACGACGTGGAATGGCAAAGGAGGGAGTGGCTGTCGCCTCATAGGGATGCCGTGTTCTCATTCTTTCTTATCGAACGAGGTCTCTACTGGGCTGAACGACCTGACCCCAGACACGCCAGTCTCATCCCCCTCGATCATAACAATCACGCGAACAATAACCACCATCAGCACCGCATTAACGGCAAACCGCTTAGGGGCGGAACGGCGGTCGCCGACACCGTTGCTTGGCCAGCACTTGTAAGTATATAAACAAACTATTATGCTTCTAGATGTATATTTATGAATTTTTTGACGATTTTAGGATTTTACTTTTCTTTTATGTTGAAAATCTTTATGAATTATTTTCTAGTCTTGTTCACAGAAAAATGTGTAGAGGTTTTTTTTGTGATATTATCAAAAAAGAATTTGTATAATTATACGTATAATGTACTTGAAATTCCGACAGTAATTTGTTACGTGTGATTTCTTTCGAATTATATACAAAAATTGTCACGAATTACCATTTTTAATGCAAATCTTTCATATTTTGTCGATGATAATTGAGAAATGCTCGCTCCCACTTGAATATTAATCAGCCCGTAGTTAATTAATGAAATACCTGATTCTCCATTCCCGTTGAATAAATTTTACGATCGACACAATTCAACTGGTATAAAACAGCCAGCCACGTTCCATTAGTTCGACGCTTTTTTGCTCGTTAAAATTTTAATGCTTGGATTGAGTCAGTTTAATTATTTTGCGAAGATTTAACGGCGCAAAAGTAATTACATTTATATAATATTAAATTTTTATATGGTTTTTTTGTGTGGAGAAATTCTAAAATTTAAATTCTGAATGCGCATATTATATCAAAGTCATAATTGTCATTGTGATCATTGATGTTAACTTATTTCTATTTTTTAAATTTTTATTATGTTTATATTTAATAACACAAGTTGGAAGTTTTTCCATATTTTTCATAAAATACGGACTTGCTTTTTTTAATAAATCCCTAACATAAAACTCACTTTATTCTTCTCGTAATTAATCATTAAATAAATGTATTAAATATGCTGTTTATGGATTAGAAAATTTTGCGAGATAAGATGCGTAATTGCACGTTTGTTTCTAGACTTTCTATCCTCTCGTGGCACGCGCTGAGTTGCACGAAGACGTTATGCCGATCGAGTTTATGCAAGATCGCAAACTGGACTTTGTCGACTATTCGAAGCTGAAGCCATTCACTGTAAGTACCACAAATTAGTTCCAACTGTTTAAGACTGATCACTTCACTAAATTCTAACAATACACGTAATACAATGAAAAATCGTCGATTAGATTTCTTTTTGCAATCCGCCTAAAGCGATGAAAGTATTGGATAAAAATAATGGGAAATTTTACATCAGAATTTATTAAAGTTTCTAATTATTTATTTTTTTTTCCATTGTTTTTGTCAGTTCTTACATTTTCTTTTTCGTATTAATTTTAAATAATTAAATTTAAAACTCAAGCTAAATGTGTTAAATTAATTTTTGCGCAACAAAAAGAATGAATAATATAAAAATAACGTTTAATTATATCACTAAATTAACTTTCGGATAAAATATGGAAAATATAAAACTGTAAAATTCACTTACGACGAGAAGTACAGAGACAATTTTCGCTGTCTAAGATACACCGACGCGTTCTGTTATCTTGTTTCCTTTCTAATTTCCTTGTCGCGTGTGGCGTTCTGTACATTTCACACGCGAGATGCGATAGAGCATCCCGAAACGATTAAGAGGCCACATGAGCTTCGTTGGCGAATGCGACCTGCGCGCGGAACGGCGGCCACTTCCGCTTTACGACTGGAAACTTACTTCGTTAGGGACGCTGGAACTTAGTTAGGGAACAAGTTCCGAAGCCATTGGCGCATCCGACACCCCACCGGGGCAACGGACGCGAGCGTGAGCTTGAGCGCCGCGTTTCTCTCGACTCGCTGCTGCTGTAAGTAATCTTTCACGGGGCTCGTTGTCCAACTTCTCGTAAGAGGAGTCTACACGGAGGAGTCGACCGAACTTGCCAGGTAGAAGACGAACAGCCGAACTTTGATTCAAGTTCCCGTTTCACTTTCGCGTATGTGCAAAAATTATGCTTGCGAACGTAGCAGAACTTTTCGCGCCAAGAAATATTTCTTTAATTGGCAATCTTATTATTTCGCAATAATGAAAATCGAGAAAACTTATCAATGGGAAAATATATATCTGAGTATTATTTTTTTTTGTGAAAATAATATTATATTTTTAATATTTGAATTATTTGGATTATTGAATTATAGGACGAGCCTTATATATATAGAGAGAGAAATTTTTATAACAAAAAAAAATTAAAATTATATATATATTAATATAATCCGATATATTCGTTCATAATGGTAGAAAATATATCTGATAATAATTGCAGCTAAAATAACAGAAATTTTTTATTCTATTGTTTTTATCGTATTTATACTTTTGCTATTTGCTATATTATCGTGAATGTTGAATTTGCCATTCCATGAGCCAATTCAAGTGCTAAATTGCGTTTATCTTTTTTTTATTTATTTTTTTTTTGTTACAATGCAATTCATCGGTCGTCCATTAAGAACTTTGCTATTGCCTTTGACCTTTGATTAAGTATCGTATTAATCGACTTTCTATCGGATATCAGTTAAGGCAATTATAATAAATGATGATGCAGAAATTTTCGCGCTCTTGTCAGGGAGGTTCCGAGGTAGAAAAACGCGAGACACTCGACCGAGATAACAGAACGATCAACCGATCCTTTTTTGTGCGAGAAGAGAATAATATATATGTATGTGTGCGTGCGGCTACTTCAGAAGTTGCCGCACTTCTATTACATCGGGTGGGAAGAGTTGAGCGAGGTGGAATTGTTTCCAAGTAATTAAACTACCGGAAAACTTTTACCGTTAAAACTTTTCTCCGCCGCTTCAACGGCAGAGCGGACTGTAAGTCGTTTACGTGCGGCGAGAACTTTCAGACCGGCGGTCAGGTTCAGGTGCGTCTCGCTTTTCAGATTCGCTCTTTACTTGTTGTGTGTGACTTGCTATACATCAAATAAGACGAACTACCCTCGTAATCTGCATTAAATGCACTGAAAACAACGCGCTTCTTCTTGGTCAAATCTTCTGAAAAGTCGACATTGAATCTTTTTTAGTAAAAGTTTGCCGCTAAAATTATTTCGATAGCTGAATTTATCGTACTCAGTACAAATTAATAAACGCAAATATATAATAATAATAACACATAAGTTTAATTTTTTGTTAATTACAGTGCAGTTTAATAACATTATCTTCATTCAGAAATTCAAAAAGGTCTCGCTTTAAAAACGAACCGAAAAATAAGAAGTCTCTTTCGTGAACGGCCATGGATCCTTGCTTTCAGCTGCAGATTGGTACGCTCGCATTTTGTGGGGAAAAGTAGAAGGTCGTCAGTTAAATGCAAAGGAAAAAAAAAGGGCGAAGTGACGGCGTGAGGGAGAGAACCAAATTCGTCCGAAGGCGAAGTTGCGCGCGAGAGCCGTGCGCGAGTGTGCTGACCCTGAACTATAAATGCAACGGGTTCTTTCTCCTCGCTGCATCGCTTTGCATACCTAGCGTGCGCACACGCTCACGTGCACGCGTGCACTTGCGCGCGATACTTGGAGACGTTGCTTTTGCTTTGCTCTCGTTGCTACATCCATGGGCGGCGCGAATAGTTGCATCTCCTGCTCACTCTATATCTTGTCGGATGTGAAATATTCATATTGATATTAATATTAAATTATTTTATAAATGTGTTGTCTAATAAAAGTTAATTTCGTATTATTTTAATCTGTAACGAATGAGACCATTTCGAGTTCAAAATATAATGTCGGATCCTTCATAGACAAAACATAGATGAAACAAAGTATACAAATATGTAGAATAATTAAAAAAAAAAAAAAATACAAATTCTTTATTAATAGATTCTAGAGTTGCAATTTCCATTTCTGAGCAAGATCTTGCCGGCGCCCATGTAGTCGTTGGCAGTCTTCGCCTTTTGCCGGCGGCGTCGCTTGCCGGTTTGGCGACTCGCATCGGTAGCGCGCGTGCACGATCATCGGGGAACGTTGGAGAACGGCCAAGACGAGGCGCCAACATATTCCCGTTCTGTCTAACGGTCCTTGGCCGAGCGCGCGACGGCACAGAATTATATCCTCGATCTCCCTTCATGCGATCCTTGCGAGAAGTAAAAACGCCGGAATCCTTTCTGCGCGCTGCCTCGTGAAAGGCGCTTTCATTGCGAGAAGATGCATTCTCGTTGTTCTTTTTATCTTATTGTTAGAAATTAAGTCTATTTATCGAAACGCATGAGCGATCGTTTTGACGACTCATGTTAGTCATCTTCAATTGAACTCTATAAGCGAATGGAGAATATTTTTGATATGGGATGTTAAATAAGCAATTTTGCACACGATATGCAGGATGCTAAAATTAATTCTACACTTAAACTTTTATATTAGTTCTCAAATTAAAAATTACACCAAATTAAATTTCTCAGCATTTTATTAATTCAAGATTTAATTATCAAAATATTCAACATTGAAACGAAATTGAAATTAATAAATTATCTGTTTTTGGAATTTTCGAAATATTTAGTTTAAATTTGTGAAATGAGATTTATTATTAAAATAAAACGCTGGAATTCTCTGCACCAAAGGCTTGATACTTTGAAACTTAATGTTACACAAATCCATATAATATCTAATTACAAAACCAACATCGTTTATAAATGCTGCAACTATCAACCATCGACAGAGTTTTAGCACGTGATTAGCAGCGATCGCAGCGATAATGTGAATCAAGTTGCGATATCGGGGAATATCGAAATTAGCAGATCCATTATTGTGTCATTTTTGCCGAGCAAATACGAGTAACAGCTGATTGCACGCGAATAATTTTATTGCGTCAGTACACGAACGGTAGGTGTACGCATCTGCCACATCTTCAATTTAAACTTTACGACAGTCTGTAGTCATTTTATCTGCCGGCACTTTAGCGTCGTGATTGTACGGTGAACGCATCGCGATTAATAGCAGGCGTGTTCTTAATTAAGAAACTTCTTAATTAATTAGCTGTTGTATGGTAACTGCTAACGAGGACCTGCGGCGCGTGGTAAAACGATAACAATCAACATCGGTACAAACCGTGATTTTCTGACTGATAATTTTCATTCCGAAATATTTGACTGATTGACATTTGAAACGCTTACTTTGAAAAAAAAAGAATTGTAAAGAACATATTTGACGTAAAGAATTTTTTATCAAAACGATGTATAAAAGGTTGACGTCGTCGCTTTTGACGAAAATCTACTTGTAAGTTTATGATGATTATGAACGGAATGAAAATCAAGAGAACTAAATCAGAAATGGATGATTTAGTCAATCTTTGAAAGCTATCCCTGGAAACAGCCATTTGAGCGAGCGATCTATAACGTGAAATTGTAGTCCATAAATAAGGAACGAACCAATCTCTTGATTCTCGTGTCGAGTGACATTCTCGAATCAAATTATCGCACGTACGAATAATTTATCGATCGACAGATAATCTCATCGATCCCGAGACCGAACTCACATTTTCACGTTATAATTGCTGCGCGGTATGTCCAGACGGATGCTATTTCTTTATTCGGCATCAACATTTAACGATAACGGATTAATGAACGGAAAATACGTTTCGCGAGTTGCTCGCAACTCCGCACAAGTGCCATATGTTGGTGCAAAATCTTTCATCGATTATGCTCTACGGTAAACGAGCCTAAGTGCAGAATGACTTTATAATGGTTACAAACGACGTCGGGGACGAGAGACGGTTGGTAATTACTCATAAACACTTTCGTTTTTGATGGGCGAGAAAATTGGGAGAAAGAGAAAGAGGTAAAATCTCATGCGCACTTATGTACAAAAATATACACAAATCTCGTACGAGCAAATAATTTAGATAATAATTTAGATGGAGAATACTTCATATTTATTTAAATACATTGGCGTACAAGACGTATGTTAAAAGTATTAATAAATGATACCTCGTTTGTGTAACTTTAGTACGATTTTTGAAACAGGAACCAAAGAGTTTTCCTCAATTTTTTTTACATATCTTTCTCTTTTCAACTGTAAAATAATAATTGAAAGAAAGTGAAAAAATTTTTCCATGAGCAAAGATAATTATAGTTTTCTGACTTCCGCGATATCTTAATGATATGTTCGTGCTTATTAGGATCCGCGCTATAAAACTGATATATTTCTAATGAAATTTTTTGTTAGATTAGTACAATTTTTATAAAATATGGAAAGTAGAAAATATGAAATTTTGATAAAACTAATGTAATTTGAATTATAATACTTTTGCAGTTTGTGCAGTTTACACTGCGCTATATCATATTAATGCTAGAAACATTAATTTGCAGAGTACATTGAGATGTACATCATATTTTCAGTCTACAAAGTAATTATTATTTGCGTAATTACGTAGCTTTCTTCGACTATACGAGAAAGATGGCCTTTCCATCTCTCGAGCATTTATTTCTTTCGATTCATTCAAGTAATGAAGGTTCTAGAAATAACCAGGAAAAACTTGGAAAAATATGCAGACTGTAGCGGACATAAGATAATAACAGTCAGAAACAAAGTTATGCTTACGCCATTAAATCTAGTCGGATCGTAATGTCTTCTGTCGCGAGGTCGCGGTCGTTCGTATTTATAGGGTGTTTTAGCTCTTTTTTCATCAGTTTTTATCAGTTTAGTAGCGAATTTAGAGATGATTTTTCGTCAACAAAAATCTAATAAAGCTCTATTTTCATTAAATTAGATTTATTATAAGTCTTTTAAGTTGTTATCTTTTAGTATCTTATTAATTAAATAACAAAATAATTTTTAAAATCAACTAGAAATTTGGCAGGAGAATAAATCGATTGAGAAAAAAGAAACAAGGATTGGTTCCTAAGGGATTTTATAGGGGATAACCCTTTGATCGCGTTTACGAGCACAGTGTGGACATTAAGTGCTCTCGACGCTTCGGTAATAACGTTCTAATTGCCGTTGTATTACTGCCATTAACGCGCCTCGCGCCGTCACGCTGTGCACAACGATTGCATAACGCATATCTGATATAATGACGTAGTGATGACGTAACAAAACGTGAATACGAGTTCGCCGGAATGGAAAAAAGTGATCGAAAAAAGGCAAAATTCGGCATTATCGTTTTCTTTTAACACATTATCCTTAAAAAATTTCCCATTATTACTATTAATATTATTTATAAATGCAGTAATATAAAATGTTTATAAATTTAATGAAACATTATTGGGATTCATTCACACACGTCATACAAAATTTAATTTCTTAATATAAATGATATAGACAGTAAAACAAATTATACGAATAAGTAGTTATTAGTCAGTTAGACAGCGACGTAATTAACGTTTTTTAATTTCACTTTTCTACTAATCTTCTAATTTGTGAAAAATTTTATTCAAGAAATATTTAATCGTAGATTTGATAAGAAAAGGACATCGGATATTTGAATGCTTATTTCTATTGCATTGAATTGAATTTATCGACACGTGCCGTTTTTACGTATAAATAAAATATTCCGATATCGATTATTACCTAGTGAATGTGGTAATATCATATTTTTAGGTTCCATCTAACTAAATTTTACATTTCAACACATTGTTTTTGCGACCGTTATTTTTGTAACCTTCGCGAAGTACTATAATTATATTAACATATGTGAGGGAAAAACGAAATGGACGATGTACGAATGAGATAGAATGTATATTAGCTTTTTCATTTGGCACGAACACTTACATATAAGAGCACTAACAACATTAGAGGGTGATGAAAATACATTCGGATCGTGATATATTTATAAATGAAATTAATTTAAATAGTCCATTAAGTACATCGAAGTAGGTGATAAAGTTGTAAATAAACCTGGCGAAATAAAAGTACTTCATCTTGGATTTTTTTGTTACGAAATATTTGTTCGGCAAAAATTAATATAAAAATTTAATGCAAATTCTTAAACTCATTAAATTATTAATTTATTAATTAACTAATATTTATGAAAAAAATTATAAATTGTATGTTGAAATAAGTAAAATAAGATAAATTGTAGAATAAGTCGGGATTTATTTTTTTACAAATCTTGTACTCTGAACTGTCCGTGAAGCTTTTTATCTCTCTTTTGTTATCTTTTATCAAATTGCGCGGATTTTTCTTTCTTCATTTTCTCTTCCGAAATCACGGACAGCTTCTAGAGTGGAGGAACAGTCCGCTCTTCTTAATCAAGTTCCACGAACGAAGCTTCAACCCTGAGCTTTTTTACTTGTATTTGCAGCAGGACTGGGAGCTGACTAAGGGCACGATGCCCTGGGGAAACGCCGTTAGGAGATGGGCCGAGATGCAGGATGGTCAGAGGATCCTGCTGACGACGCCCAGCGTCCTGGTCGGTTTCAGGGTCGAAGTTTATCGGGCGGAAGGCACGACACAATGGTACACAGCCGTGATCGTTGGTTACAATGAGTCCACCAAGGTAAGACCAGCCAGATAATAAATATTACAGCGATGCCTTATCAGCAGATGGAAGCTGTTTTGTAGCAGATTGAAAGGACTCTTATTTCAGATCGTCTAATCTGCAATTCAATTTTAAAGTCGCTTATCGAGATTCCTTACGTATCGTTACGAGTAATGTGTAATATTAGCAAAAGAGATCAATTCGTAGCAGAAATGTCACATGGAAAAATCGGTAGCCCCAGATTTCTATTTCGGTCAATTTTATACTTTTATTTTAGTGACTTTTCGTAAATTTAACTTTATCAGCGAATCGGTGTCGAGAATGTCTATAAAAAAATATGAAAGCTTTTTTTATTTAATATTATTCTTTAATTAGATTGTGCCACCTTCGAGAGCTTTTTATCAATTTAAAGCAGATTTATGATCTAGATTGTTTATGAGTGCAGATCTAAAGAAAGAGTTCTATTTTTGGTGACAGAGATTATTGCAATCAGAGATAACACACTTACTAATTGTTCAGTGATTTGTTATTACAGCTGTGTTTAGTTCTTTCGTTATTTGCTATGACTATTGCAGCCACTTTATATATTTGGAATGAAAAATTATAAAATAATAATTTTTTCAATCGGGATAACTGTCACTTTTCTCTATTTGAGATAAACTTTCCGTTAATTTAAATAATTATATTGTGTTTATTATATTTTGATATTCCGATATCATATTTATTTTATTAAATCTGTGAATTTTCCTTTTTAATTTTAAAGATAATAATTCCGATGCATGATTTCTTATGACTTTTTACATTATATTTATTAAGATATATTAAGTTGTAAACAAAGTTATAAACTTGCATCGATTTGTTGTAACACGCTAAAGTAAGATGTAACCGCAGTTTCGAAGCGAGTCAAACGAGCCAATTTCTTCTCTCACTCGATATTTTTATCGTTTTTACCATTAAACATCTTAAGATGGAAGAACGAACGACAGACTCACATCGTCGCGAAAGTAATCCTCTCGGCGAGAAAGCTTCCGATAATTTATCCTGGCACTGGTGCGGCATTCCTATTGGAAAACTAAATCCCTGAAATAACCGGCGACGAGAAAACGTTCTGGAAAAGGTGCAGCGATCGAAAGGCGAAGGAACATAAAATATCGGTTGGGTTGTCTGAGGAAGCTTTTGTCGCTTGCACGCTTTTTCTTTCCTGCCTCTTTATTCGTTTTATATGTACGTCCGTCTCGAATATTCTTTAAAAGTACTGGCAGAATCAAATCGCTTGCCTCTTGAAGTTTATTCGAATATCCTCCGTTGTGGCATCAACTTTTACGGACAAAGACTTTAATGAAATATCGCGAGGAGCAAAATGTATGAGAGACATATATTATCATCCATTGTGCAAAACATTAATTAATATGAATGTGAAATTGCTTTTATGTTTAACTAAAAAATAGAAATACGAAAACATTTTTTTCGCAGAGATCTCCTGCGTATACGAAAAATTATTTATTTTTTCTGTCAAAAGTTATTAGAACAGTTAATGATAAAACTTGAAAGCTATTTTTCGAACGCGAATCTATTTTTTGATTATTTCCGTCAGTCATTAATCGTTTGATTATTGTGTGAGCTTTTTCTTTCGCAATGTGAAAAATTCGACGGATTTATGACGTCGTTGTAACCAAAATGTATGGTATTCGTGAGTATATATTAAAATTACAGAGCATTCGAGCATGAGCGAGTAAGCGCACGCGATGTATACGAAAATTGGATGAAAACATTTCCTGAGCTGTGATGATCAAAAAGTTCATCAGCTTATACATATAGTTTCAAACGTGATTGATTGTTTCCGTCATTAATCGTTTGATCTTTCCATAAAATTGATCATTTTATTAGAGTTAATAACATGTTATCGAATTTATTGTTTGGATCTGCCGCTCTTTTCTATAGCGCGGTGGCGCTAGTATACAGATAGGCGAGGCGAAAAATATTTGTATGAAGTAGTATAAGAAAATGGCGGAATGATCTTGCATACGTTAATTTGCAAAGAAATGCAAAGCGGTTTGTATCAATAATGCATTTATAAGAAATACATTATTCACATATTAAACATTTATATCATGCACTACTTTCCGTATTTGAGTAAATTCATGATGCGAATGTGTACTTACGATATACGGAGGTGATTTGTATCGCAGAAGCAATCGTGATATAAATTTCTGCAAAAATTATATACATGAGAAATCGGTGCAAAGTATTGACATTAACGCGAAGCTATAAGTAAAATTGTTTGCAAAATTCTAGATTGATGAACCTGGGAAATAATTGAATACTCGACTCGTATTGTCGTCATTAGTAAAAATCGTGTATTGATAATTAATATGTTTTTCTTTTTTTTTTCTAGGATTTGACAGTCACCGACGATACGGTCCTCGAAGATCACAATGAGGATCCCACGTTAGTGCAAATGCGGCTGATCGGCGATGGAGGTGAGAAAACGTTTTAGAATGAGATAAAACATGTACATAATTGATAACGCAGCAATTTATATGGACAAAATTTCAATAAAGCTTAATTTAGCACGAAAGCATCGGTATCACTAATATTAAGAAATCGTTTAATATTGTTGCAAAAATTCTAAACATTAATTATATGTTAAAAGTATATTAAATATTCTTAAACGTTTTATTAAATATTATTTAAAATATTATCTTTTTTAATGCTACCTAGTGCTATTTAATGTTGAATAATTGCTACGCAAACAGCAGTCTCGCTATTCTAATTTTCCAAGTATATTTGATTATAATTTTTCAAACAATAGCCAAATAACATAGTTGTAAAATGTATTGAAAGTGTTTTCATTTTTTTTTCTCTCTTATGTAGTCGTCGAGAGCATCATGAGGGGCGAGGTCGTCGGCATGACACCGAGGAGGTCGAGGTCATCGACTGCTCTGACGCACGCGCTCGTTGTGGTGAGTGAAATCCAATTTCGTTCTATTATTAAACATTTTGCATAGTTTACAATCAGCAAATATCGTAAACAGCAGATGTATTGACTACGTTTTTATATTTTGTATAATAGCTCACGTATATTTGACTCATGTGCATTTAGTGAAATTGAATTCTCTATATTTGGACAATTTTTTTCCATATATAACATTGTTAGAAAATAAAATTTATTATTAATATGCTTGCTTTTAAGCAATTGAAAATTGCATAGCATTTTATTCTCAAATTTATTTTAAAAGTTAATTTGCCTGAAATTTTTTATGCAGAAATTATTTAAAAATTCACTCTTTAATTACTTTGTTGGCTACCATTGAAAGCAGTTGTCTAGTAAGCAAAATAACATGATATATATTTACTGATTGTAAAATTAAAAAAAATTTTTTTTTATTGTTATGTAAAATATTTGTATTGTTCGTATTGATTTCCAAAAGTATTTGTGCTAATGCGTGCACTTTACGACATCCGATATTTATCGCGACGCCGCTGAATTGGCGCTAATCTATATTTCTGCATACGCCGCGGTAACTAGTAGACGATGTTTTGCGAAACATTTATCGGCGATAGCTGCGGAATGATTCGTGCGACCGAGTCACGAATTAAGGCGCGATAATCTCGCGTCGAGGCAAACATCTTCTTCGCGCGTGACGATAGCGTGCGTCGTCACATGGTAAACCGTAATTGGAATCGGGCCGATGTGCCGTTTCGAAAGGAAACCGCCGCCGGTAATCGCATCTTGGTGTATTTTTGTAATCTTCCTTCGTTCTCTATACGTTTAGCAAGTGTATAAGTACATGTCGGCGTGTGAACTCTTGAGACAAGTACCATGGATCACACACTACTCACGTTAATTGATACACTTGTTGTGCACTTTTTAAGGCCCGATTAATGAGAAGGAAGATTCGTTATAATTGCAACGGCAATGCAATCATCGAGACATTTTTGTTTCTAATAATTTAACGATGTTATTGAGATTATGTATGTTTGCTGGAGTAATGTGTCATCGATGATGTCGTCTCAAAATTATTGTCAGCGGTTATTGTGCTATCTGAGCTTGTAGATAGTCAATGTACGTAAAACGGGACATCGATTATCAATTGTGTAGATATCTTTAACGAAACCCAGTGACATTACGTTGACGCATATAGCATGTACTAAGATAACGTCGGCGTAGTTATTTTCATTAAAAACATGACCGTGTTTCTTTTTTAACAAAAAATTTCAATCGCACATTTCGGAATTATTTTAAAAAAGAAAACAGAGTTTAAATAAGAAAACAAAATATTTTGCAAATAGTTTAATATCGAAAAAAAAAGAATTTTTGTTATAGAAAAAAATATTTATTATAGAAAAATATACCTGTAAAGTGTCAAAGCTCATGTTTTTATATTGTATATTTTTGAAATTTTTGTATTAGAATATGAGACAAATATTACAGGTTAATTGATTACGTCCTTTAACGTAGCTAATTTTAATCAATGAAACAATCAAAAACAATGAAAAATAAGTAGCATATTTACCTAAAAGAACAGATAAATGTATCGCTAAATTAGAGAAATATTCTCTTATAAAAAAATGGTTACCAAGTCTCGTGTTTAGATTTTTAGTGCACAAAGTGACGCCTACGCGTACCGAATGTTTCCCTTTAACGCGGCAAATCAATAGAGTCGAGCTTGCAGCACCCTCGGGCTTTCAGGAATCGGAAAGCCCGGAATAGAGTTCGTTGCTACCTTAGCGGCCGACTTCCGTTTGTGTACGCGAATGCCCCTCCTTCCTATCTCTCTCTTTCTCTCTCTATTTTATTCTCTCTCCTTGTCTCTTGTGTGGCCTGTGCTCGATTTTCCGTCGAGGCGGCAATCGAGGGCATAGTTGTCGTGCTTGCGTGCTTGCGCCATGAATTTCTCTTCACAAGAGAAACGTGCGCCTTCGAATTCTAGATAACGCGATCGTTGAACGTCGAACTCGACGGCGATAGAACCGAATATCAGCGACACTGATAGCAGAATGCTGTCTGCCAAACTTTTTCGCAAATGCATTTCGTTGTTAACGTGAATCATGTCCCACTTTGTGCAGCGCTTCTAAAATATTCTGCCTCGAGCGTATGTTTTAAAATCGTATTATAATTTGCTTGCATTTCGAAATTTGACATGTATATTCAGAGAAATGGTTGAAATATTCCGTTTTACATGGTATTTTCCATTTTAAATTATCGTTTTTTAAACTCTCGCAGGGAAAATATTGATAAATGCATCAAAATGCATATAAAAAAATATAACATGATTTTATGTAGTATCAATATTTTAAAGCATTAACTGTTTTATCGTAATATGTAATAATAACTTGATTGATTCGTAAAATTATTTCTGAATTTCATCCATTTTTGCGAATTGTTCTTATTGCGATCTCGTTGCAAAATGTCTGAAATTCTTTCAACTTTTGACCTTTTAAGGATGATATTCTGAAATGATATTCTATGTAATATATCGGACGCGACTTATTATTCTCTGAAAATAGCGGTTTTCTTGTTGTGGAGGATTAATTAACAAAGACAGCGAGTATTTTGCTCTTTTCATAAATGCAAATCAGATGCCGATTCGGCATTGTTCTCCAGGATCAGCGAGTTCTATTCCGCGGCTTATGTTGTCAAATTTGTCGACATAAATCTCGCGATTTATCGCCTCGACGGCTGAATCTGCTACCTACGACGACACGGAACGCGACGAGAATAACGGCGATCGTAATTGCATATTCTGCCCGGAACCGCGTCCTGCGTTGACATGAAATCATTATTAACTGCCTCGGAGATATAATTAAGCAACGCCACGGCGTCGTCTTTTTCCGATGCGACGTGAAGCACTCGTATACTATTCTGAAATATACCGTTATAATCTCATGCAAAAATAAGTGACGCCATTTGAATGTCACATTTGGATCGATTCATTCCGTGGTACATTTCCAACGTGAAGATTAAATACTCTTACCTAAATACACATAGACGTCTATCAAATCGAATAGCCAGGTCTTGCCGTAATGTGTCAATCCAATCAACTCACGTCATATGGCATTAATTCGTTGCATTTTATTAAAATAGATATATAGAATTTGGCATATATTAAAATTATAAACGCAATAATGCGTAATAATGCATTGCCATAGTGATAATTATGTGTGTAATAATTACATGCAATATATAAAGAACAATAAGATCAATTTATTCTTTTCTTTAATATTAATTTAAAAAAAATTTTTTTATCTTTATGAAAATTTAATATCAGTTATCTACATATATTTCATAATATTAATTGCCTGAAAATAATAGGATTGCGATAGATAATCGACAATAAAAGTACTCAAATTTGTCATAGAGTATAAATCAGTGATTTTTGTGCACGGTAATCTTCGTGTACTTCGTTTGAACGTACTCGATTTACTTTCGTGTCGGATATGCTCATTCGTCTCGGGATTTAACGGGATGCAATTCATCGACGTTTGGTACATTCCGCCACACGGCAAAGGTCACGAAAGAAAGCAATTCCTTGGCTGGCTTCCACCTTGCTCCCGTTGCAAAGAGGATAATCGCAGGGCGGAGATGGATTTCGCGACGAAAGAAAATGATTTATGAACACCCCCCCCGAGACGAGTGGGGAACTGCGAAAAGCCCCTTTCGCATTAACGGTATTGTAAGATCGAAGGGAGCGCGAATTCGGAAAGTTTCCTCGAAAGTTTCTTCCCGAAGTACGAAGAAATCTGAAAGTAGGAATAACTCGTTCCCTTCGAAAGGCGGCTCCGCAAACTCGCGAGAATCGGGCGCCCGAAACTTCACAAGAGAATTGCACGTTAACGATAGAAAGTTGAGAGTTGTCAAAACGGGCGGATAGTTCTTTTAAAGCGGCCGTCAAAACTGCTAACTCAGTGGTAACTTCTGATTACCGTTTCTAATTTTCCACCATTTCCCAGCCATCGTCGTCCAACACAAGATCTGTGGTATGTCCATGAGTTTTTACGAATTATTCCGCTCGTTCGCGCGAAAGGGAAGTTACCGTCGCAATTCTCGCGATTAGATCTCTCACGCCTCTTGCGAGAGCAATTTTCCGCGTTAAATCGCATTTTTACAGCTTCTCAGTCAGCAGCGAAGCGTAAAGGTCGCGCATTATCCGAACATTAAGAGACGTCGTTCTTTCTCTCTCTTTCTCACATAAAATTCGCACGATCAAGGTTTATGCAATCTTAACCGTTTCTCGAAAATGAGATTTTAATAACAGCGTGTTTGCCAGGCGTTGCGTTCAATTATTGGAGATTGATGATATTGAGTTGGTATAGTAAATTGCCGAATACCATAGGTTAATTTTCAACTGATTTACGATTGGTTTTAAAAAGAACTATTTTAAAATTAATATTGTTATCATACATTATAGATTTATGTTCATAAAATTATATTTTTTGTTTTAAGAACGAACAGTAATTGAGGGAGGAAAAGAAGGTAATTTCTAACGTGAATATAGCGCTTGTAACAGCTAACGAATGAAAATTTAAGAAACGCTCGTTTACAAATTTTCTATAATGTTCGTCTATTTCCGCGACGCACATACAGGAGCATAGCACAAACTTTCACGTACATACTGCAAAGTAAGCTGCATACAAACTTTCGTCTTACTCGTGGTAGAATTCGTGAGTCATGCCAGGTACTTCGATACATGAGCGACGCGATGTCGGAAAGTTTGAGGCTAGCTTATACGAGTTCGAAAACTTGCAGAAAGAGATTAAACCTACTGGCTCGTAATGGAACTCGCTTGCGAGAAAAGCGAGTTCCGCGAAGACGATCATTAGAGGAGCTTACGAGACCAGGCTGCCGACGATGAAACACCTTGCTTTAAAATATCAATCATCGTGATTTTGCATTTCTCACTTGTGAAGATTCTCAAAATTTGTTTACGCTTCTTTTGAATTCTGCAGAACAAGTAGCTTA